CCTTATACCAATCAAAAGAGTTAAACAATCAAATGTTATAGCGACAAAACAAATAGATGAAAATGTCCAAGTGGATAATGATGATGATGATGATGATGAAGAAGTCTTTGATGAAAAGTTGAAACTAGTTGTTTCACCTCGACCATGTCTTTCAACAAAACTACGGCAACATTCATCTAAATGCATTCGACGAAAGAGCAGTGTTCGCTTTCACATGTGAAATTACTATACAATTTTTATCATTTAGCGCATTTTAGCCAAAAGAATTTGTTTTTATTATCAATAAACCAGATGGAATCACGAGAAAGGCAAACAGTAGATCATCTAGTCTTCAAAAATTGTAGAGTAAAAAATGTTGCTACTTACTTTATGAACTGTTTGATTCGAAATGAACGGAAAACAACTACGTCTGGAGATGGTCGGGGTGTGATCATGAGAGTGAGGATTATAGTTTTATTTTCATAGATGATAAAGATATTAATCAATTGCCGAAATATATTTGGTTGTTTGAACTCTCAATGCACAGTATAATCTATTTACATTCTAATAGTTAAGAAATACCTTTCGAGAAAAACATTTGTTTGGTGTTTGTTCATAGGATAATTCATTAATTATAAAGTTCAAGCATGAGCATTCTGTGAAATCTTATTATCTCTTATCTTATAGTGATATTTCTTTCATACGTATGAGTCTAAATTTCAAACAGATTAATGTTTCATACAAATAGGTTAATGATTTTACTGAATAATGAACAACGGCATTTTGTTTATTCAATAAAATCGGATATATATAAATATAAGCATGCATAAGACATTTCACCAGAAGATTCAGATGAATTTTGATTATACTGCAAAACGAGACTTTCACTCCACATTTGCCAACAAGGTGAAAAAAGTGGGAGGACAGACTCTCAGAAAAGGATCTATAAAACTTGTAGTCTAGTCTCTCTATACTGCAGTACACACCTAATACTGACCATTTTCTAGATGATTTTTGGTTACTGCATACTATAAAATCAAACAAAATGCATTCTCTTCATTTTATATTCGTAATACTTTATTATTCGTTTAAATTAGTGGATCGCTGGGTTTTTCCTTCGACTTTAAGAACCACGTCATCTGCTGTAGAGTGCTCGAATTGTAATAATGCATATAGCTTCGCGAGACTAAAAGTCTGTAACTACAAGCTAGTAAGTCTACATCTAAAGCTATCGAGATGACAGAAGGAAACTTATTAAATGAAGAACCTTACAAATAAAGAAACATCTCCTTTCACAATACCTTGTGCGAACAATTATCTGATCAGTTTTTTCATGGCAAAGTGCACATAGTGGAACAAAGTGTCTCAAACACTTTGGGAATCTGAAATACATTTTGGTTTACACTTTGCTGGAAAAACCAGCGTATACGCGTACACGTTCTGATTTATACTTTGTTTCTTTTACAGGTTTTTGCTAGGTTATGTAGAGAATAGAGCGTTTAGCGTCAAATGTGACTTTCGTTCTTGCTTCGTACTTGCTGCATAATTTTTATTTTGGCTGTCTGAACTTGTTCTGATTAAAAAGAGGCATAAAACCGAATCTTTTGTATCTTGGCGTTATGAGACTTTTAATCTTAATACAGGTTCCTCTCTCTGTTACGTCTTCTGTTCGTTGTCTTGGTGTTCTTGTTTCGCACGATCTTAGGTGGAATGATCATGCCAAGGACATTACTCCTGCTTGCCGGCGCAAGCTTGAAGCATTGAATCGTGCCTTTGGATTAGCTCCAACTGAAGTTCGACGTCGAATCTATCTTTCTTCTATTCTTCCTAAAGTTGACTATTGCTGTACCTTGTATGACAGTTCGCTTTCTCTTACTGTTCTTGATTCTGTAAACAAACTTGCTTCTCGTGTTATTTCTCGCAATTTTGACTATCGTTCTTCTAGTTCTCTACTTGTGTTTCAACTTTCTCTTCCAAATCTCACTCTTCGTCGTAAATACTTTAGATTTCTACAGTTTTTCAAAATTTATCATCGTCTAAGTCCTATTTCTCTTTTTTATACTATCCATCGTCCTCACTACTCATCTTTACGTCTTCATCATTCTAAATATCTTCGCATTCCATCTTCTGTTGATGGTTATTCTCCGCAAACGATGCATTATTCTTTTTTTTATTCAACCATTGCTGACTGGAATAATCTCCCAGAGCCAGTTATTTGTCTTTCTTCTTTAACGTCTTTCAAAACAGCTTTATGTCAGTATCTCTTCCAGTGAAACATTTGTCAGTTAAGAATTTATATTTGTTCTTTTTTTTTACTATTTCTGGTTCTAACCTTAATTGTCCTATTTATTTTGTTCTTTTTTATTACTCTTTTTGTGTTGCTTGGCTTGAGTCATTTATTACAGGTCAGTGACCTTTGATAACTCCCTCACTTTTAGTCTTAGTTAGTCTTAGTTGGTTGTTTTGAGAAACAGAGTGCACGCGTATACTTTTGGTTCCGAAACAGAGTGTACACTCTGGCTCTAATTCTCACTAGAAACACTATAAATCCTCACATGTCATTAATGCTTTATTTTTTTGGATAATATAAGATTTGGAATATGTACACACTCTTCACATTGTGGATGAATCATCATTAGCATCACATCTCTCTGCATATATAGGCTAGATTTTTGCTCAAATCACAAACCAAGAAATAATCAATCACAGTAGAGGAATCTCTTCTTTTCAGAATTGGCGAAAACTTTTGCACCAATCGAAATTTTGTCATAAAAAGGTTTCGTAATAAAGAAAATGAGAAACGAAAGGACAGAAAATAAAAGTCGTTTAGGAGATGTTAAGAGACTAAAACACCGGTAGAAATCAAAGTAAAATAGACACAGGCTGGCTGATCGATGTAGGCGAAAAGGAAAATGTAATTTCTGCTGAGGCATCGTTGCGTAACTGTTTTTTTCCATTTGAAACTTTTATTAATGTGTCATTTATATAAAGGATTCTTTTAGGATATTTTTAGGATTCTTTTCTTTTTCATAAAAGAAGGTTTTTTTGTTTATAATCCGACTGAGGAATCTCAATCAAAAGTACTGGTACACCAGCATTTATGTATCCATACACCCGCTGTTATTGTGCGTAGACATTAACGAAAAACTGCATATATAAGACTAAGACTAAGACTATTTATTCACGAGAAATGAGAGTCATCAAACGTCACTGATCTGTAATAACAATGACTCAAGCCAAATTACACCAAAAGAGTAATAAAAAGAACAAAATAAATAAGACAACTAAGGTTAAACACCGGAGTTTGTTTCACCAGTATTTCTCAGCTCATAAACTTAAGTATGTACTTCAGTCTGCGTTTGGTTTGCTTGAATTTTCCATAACTAATAGGTTGTGAAAAAACCAAAATATCCTTTACTCTTTAATAATAACATTCTTCGGTTACAAGTTGGCAGTTACTGTCTTGTGAAGTTTGTGAAAACGATGTCTATTTTTCTAAATATTATGTCGCCAGTCTTCAATTTCACTGTGTTTTTAGCTTAAAAAATTTAGAAAAATGATTTTGTTCCTTTTCAGATATTTGTGATCGTGTAAAATGTTTGGCAGCAGTCAATTTACGTTTGGAAGTTCTACTCCTTCAAATCGTAAGTATTTATAAACGGTTAGTGTAATTTTCATACGTAAATTTTGTTTTCTATTTTCATACTTTAGCTTTTGGTACTCAGCCCACTGCTGTTGCAGCATCAACTCAATCAAACAATAACTTCATGTTTGGTGGAGCAACTGCTAATAATGCCGTTCGCGCTCCATTAAATTCCACCTTTAGTTTTGGTACCGCATCAACAGCCAGTCAACCATTATCATTTGGTAGCGCGTTAAATACAACTTCATCAATTCGTCCATTCGGTGCTACGTCAGCCTTCGGTACATTAAATTCAGTCTCCTCATCAACAACAGCACCGACATCGACAGGTTTCGGAACTGGACAGTTATTTGGAAGTACACCTCAGCAAACACCACAGCCCTCAACATTATTTGGCGGAAGTAGTGTAACACCAGCATTCGGCAATCCCATGCCAACTGCAACATCAAATATTTTTGGCTCTACGATGACGACATCAACAACCACACAGACGGGAACAACAGTTAAGTTCGATGCACTCTCTGGCACAGACACAATGCGTACAAAAAATAATACGTTTGCAACAATCAATACAAAATTACAATGTATTACATCAATGAAAGAATATCTAAATAAATCAATGGAAGAATTACGCTACGAAGACT